TGATGGTTGTTGTTGTGTTGTTTGATGGTTGTTGTTGTGTTGTATGATGGTTGTTGCTTGTGTTGTATGATGGTTGTTGTTGTGTTGTATGATGGTTGTTGCTGTGTTGTATGATGGTTGTTGTTGTGTTGTGTGATGGTTGTTGTTGTGTTGTATGATGGTTGTTGTTGTGTTGTATGATGGTTGTTGTTGTGTTATATGATGGTTGTTGTTGTGTTGTATGATGGTTGTTGCTGTGTTGTGTGATGGTTGTTGTTGTGTTGTATGATCGTTGTTGTTGTGTTGTATGATGGTTGTTGTTGTGTTGTGTGATGGTTGTTGTTGTGTTGTATGATGGTTGTTGACTGTGTTGTATGATGCTTGTTGCTGTGTTGTATGATCGTTGTTGTTGTGTTGTATGATGGTTGTTGTTGTGTTGTGTGATGGTTGTTGTTGTGTTGTATGATGGTTGTTGTTGTGTTGTATGATGGTTGTTATTGTGTTGTATGATGGTTGTTGTTGTGTTGTATGATGGTTGTTGTTGTGTTGTATGATGGTTGTTGTTGTGTTGTATGATGGTTGTTGCTGTGTTGTGTGATGGTTGTTGTGTTGTATGATCGTTGTTGTTGTGTTGTATGATTGTTGTTGTTGTGTTGTGTGATGGTTGTTGTTGTGTTGTATGATGGTTGTTGCTGTGTTGTATGATGGTTGTTGCTGTGTTGTATGATCGTTGTTGTTGTGTTGTATGATGGTTGTTGTTGTGTTGTGTGATGGTTTGTTGTTGTGTTGTATGATGGTTGTTGTTGTGTTGTATGATGGTTGTTGTTGTGTTGTGTGATGGTTGTTTGTGTTGTATGATGGTTGTTGTTGTGTTGTATGATGGGTTATTGCTGTGTTGTGTGATGGTTGTTGTTGTGTTGTGTGATGGTTGTTGTTGTGTTGTATGATGGTTGTTGTTGTGTTGTGTGATGGTTGTTGTTGTGTTGTATGATGGTTGTTGTTGTGTTGTATGATGGTTGTTGTTGTGTTGTATGATGGTTGTTGTGTTGTTATGATGGTTGTTGTTGTGTTGTATGATGGTTGTTGCTGTGTTGTGTGATGGTTGTTGTTGTGTTGTGTGATGGTTGTTGTTGTGTTGTGTGATGGTTGTTGTTGTGTTGTGTGTGATGGTTGTTGTTGTGTTGTGTGATGGTTGTTGTTGTGTTGTATGATGGTTGTTGTGTTGTATGATGGTTGTTGTTCTGTTGTATGATGGTTGTTGCTGTGTTGTGTGATGGTTGTTGTTGTGTTGTGTGATGGTTGTTGTTGTGTTTGTGTGATGGTTGTTGTTGTGTTGTATGATGGTTGTGTGTTGTGTTGTATGATGGTTGTTGCTGTGTTGTGTGATAGTTGTTGTGTTGTATGATGGTTGTTGTGTTGTGTGATGGTTGTTGTTGTGTTGTATGATGGTTGTTGCTGTGTTGTGTGATGGTTGTTGTTGTGTTGTATGATGGTTGTTGTTGTGTTGTATGATGGTTGTTGCTGTGTTGTGTGATGGTTGTTGTTGTGTTGTATGATGGTTGTTGTTGTGTTGTGTGATGGTTGTTGTTGTGTTGTATGACGGTTGTTGTTGTGTTGTATGATGGTTGTTGTTGTGTTGTATGATGGTTGTTGTTGTGTTGTATGATGGTTGTTGTTGTGTTGTATGATGGTTGTTGTTGTGTTGTATGATGGTTGTTGTTGTGTTGTATGATGGTTGTTGTGTTGTATGATGGTTGTTGTGTTGTATGATGGTTGTTGTTGTGTTGTATGATGGTTGTTGTTGTGTTGTATGATGGTTGTTGTTGTGTTGTATGATGGTTGTTGTTGTGTTGTATGATGGTTTGTTGTGTTGTATGATGGTTGTTGTTGTGTGTTGATGGTTGTTGTTGTGTTGTGTGATGGGTTGTTGTGTTGTGTGACGGTTGTTGTTGTGTTGTGTGATGGTTGTTGTTTGTGTTGTATGATGGTTGTTGCGTGTTGTATGATGGTTGTTGTTGTGTTGTGTGATGGTTGTTGTTGTGTTGTATGATGGTTGTTGTTGTGTTGCATGATGGTTGTTGTTGTGTTGTATGATGGTTGTTGTTGTGTTGTATGATGGTTGTTGTTGTGTTGTATGATGGTTGTTGTTGTGTTGTTTGATGGTTGTTGTTGTGTTGTGTGATGGTTGTTGTTGTGTTGTGTGATGGTTGTTGTTGTGTTGTATGATGGTTGTTGCTGTGTTGTATGATGGTTGGTGTTGTGTTTGTATGATGGTTGTTGTTGTGTTGTATGATGGTTGTTGTTGTGTTGTATGATGGTTGTTGTTGTGTTGTGTGATGGTTGTTGTTGTGTTGTATGATGGTTGTTGTTGTGTTGTATGATGGTTGTTGTTGTGTTGTATGATGGTTGTTGTTGTGTTGTATATGGTTGTTGTTGTGTTGTATGATGGTTGTTGTTGTGTTGTATGATGGTTGTTGTTGTGTTGTTTGATGGTTGTTGTTGTGTTGTGTGATGGTTGTTG